ATAGTGGACAACCTTGTTTCACTCCTCTTGACAGTTTAAAACTTTCAGAGAAATAGCCATTATTTACTATTTTACACCTAGGGTTACTATACATGATTTTGACCCATTTTATAAGAGATTCTCCAAAATTGAAATGCTCCAGGCATTTATATATAAACCCCAGTCGAACTTTATCGAATGCCTTTTCGAAGTCAGCTATGAATAGCAGGCCTGGTTTCCCATATTTTCCATAGTGTTCTATTGTTTCCAATACTTGCCTTATATTATCTCCAATGTATCTTCCATGTAAAAAACCTGTCTGATTAGAATGAATAATATCCGACAATACCTTTTTAATTCTATGCGCTATACATTTTGCTAGGATTTTTGCATCACAACACTGAAGTGTAAGGGGCCTCCAATTTTGTAAATGGACTGGATCTTTATATTTTCCACTTGTATCCTGTTTCAGTAATAATGAGATCAGACCTTCTTCTTGAGTGTCAGATAATCTACCATTTACATAGGAGTGGTTACTTTACTCAGTACTTTGTTGAAGCACCTTTTGGCAGCGATTACAGCCTCAACTCTTCTTGGGTATGATGCTACAAGCTTGGCACACCTGTATTTGGGGAGTTTCTCCCATTCTTCTCTGCAGATCCTCTCAAGCTCTGTCAGGTTGGATGGGGAGCGTTGCTGCACAGCTATTTTCAGGTCTCTCTAGAGATGTTCGTTCAGGTTTAAGTCCGGGCTCTGGCTGGGCCACTCAAGGACATTCAGAAACTTGTCCAGAAGCCACTCCTGTGTTGTCTTGGCTGTGTGCTTGGGGTTGTTGTCCTGTTGGAAGGTGAACCTTCGCCCCAGTCTGAGGTCCTGAGAGCTCTGGAGCAGGTTTTCATCAAGGATCTCTCTGTACTTTGCTCGGTTCATCTTTGCTTCGATCCTGACTAGTCTCACAGTCCCTGCCGCTGAAAAACATCCCCACAGCATGATTCTGCCACCACCATGCTCACCGTAGGGATGGTGCCAGGTTTCCTCCAGACGTGACGCTTGGCATTCAGGCCAAAGAGTTCAATCTTGATTTCATCAGACCAGAGAATCTTGTTTCTCATGGTCTGAGAGTCTTTAGCTGCCTTTTGGCAAACTCCAAGTGGGCTGTCATGTGCCTTTTACTGAGGACTGGCTTTCTTCTGGCCACTCTACCATAAAGGCCTGATTGGTGGAGTGCTTCAGAGATGGTTGTCCTTCTGGAAGGTTCTCCCATCTTCACAGAGGAACTCTGGAGCTCTGTCAAAATGACCATTGGGACCCTTCTTACCTTACTATAACCTGGACTATTTTGACTTTAGCTCCACTCTAGAGGAGTGGTTAAAATGAATGGATTCTGTTGTTCACAGATCCACCCCAACAACAATCAGTTGTCCCATCTGTATGGACACGTTTGGAGAGGTAAGTCAGACTTTCACTTTTCCATTGATGTTAAGCCTCTGGAAATCAGGATATAACTGGCTTTTGTGTGAAGCAGTAATTGTGTGCACCTTGTAAACAAGCTTCTGCCTCACCCCTCAGATAATTGATGGTGGAAGAATGCTTGTCTCCTCCCAGTGTGGTCACCTGTTCTGCAACACATGCATACGTGACTCACTTGCCAAATCACAGACGTGCCCAACCTGCAGGAAGAAACTAAATCATCAGCAGTATCATCAAATCTACATCTGATCTGTGTTCCTCTTAAATGTATTCCAATTGTTGGAGCTTTTTGCACATTCCTTGAAGGTTTGGTTAGATGTTCTTTGTTTGTTTGTTTTTTTGTTTATTTATTATTTAATGGTCTTATCCTTTTAGATCTTAAATTTGCACAAATGGGAATGTTTTTTCCCCCCCTATACTGGGCACATGCGGATTTAACACATTCGAGGGAGGAGAATGTAACCAATCATACACTTCACTGTACGATTGCCTCACTGTACACTAAGAAAGTATATTGTGTACAATGTTTTCATATAACTTTTTTTTAAACGGTTGTGTTTTTAGATGTGTATTATGCCTGGGTTTAGACCATCTAGACTACATTTCACTGTTGTGACCCAAAGCGTGCTTGAGAGCCCTGAAAGAAACTCAGAACTATTTTCTTGTTTGTCCATATGTATTGTGTTTATAATGAAATAATTAAATTACTTGTTTTTAGCCATTTCTGTGTGTAAAAAATGATTTAGAGGTATTGGCTCTGATATTGGGCCCCTGTATTGTGTAATGAGAAATTGCTACATGCATTGAGAAGAGAATGGGGTGGGGAAAAGTCGAATTCAGGAAGTACAGTTTCACTGTAATAAACGTTTGCCCCTAGGAAAAACATTGTATGTATGTATATGGTAATTGATTTCATTCAGATTGTCTGGAGAGGTCAAGGCACTGCTTGATTTTCTGGCAAGTGTTCGGCGGTTGCGCATTGAGTTTACTGCAACCTCTAAGTAAAATCACATGATGTGTATCTTGTCATATGACATTGATGAGGGCGACAAGCAACCAGAGGCAAGCAACCAGCGACTCACTGTGGACTTCACTTCACTAAAAGAAAGAACCTAAACTGTCAGGAATGAAATTCTTTAAAACTTTTTTGTGACTCTGCCGATAATATTTGGAGTATGGAATGTTGGGGAGTTTTGTCTACGATCGCTGCCGCCTGTCTGCTAGGTAAGGTTGGTGGTTTGTTGTCTTGGCTAATCAACATTAACGTTAGCTGTAGCAGGCAGCACTCTGCTTTTAGATATCTAGATATGACTAAAGGCAATTTGTCCTCATGGGATTATTTGAGGTACTCACCCACCCACCCACTTGTGCCACTGGCACTGTACAGAGAGACCTTGTAAACTATTTGTAAACTTTGGCAAGACAGCCACACCATTCAATATATCACAATTATGATTTGATTTGACATATTTTACAAAACGTGATAGAACTTTAATTGGATATAATTCAAAACGTTCATAAATGACAATGCAAAATTGCACTGCTTTGCAACATTGTTGCATAAGTGCAGCTATAAACGTTTATGATAATTAACATTCTGCTTCATGTGAATACATTTTTTATATTTTATTAATCAAGCCCTGTACATTCAAGAGTAGTTAACACATTTACCAAAACGGTAAATTACCCAAGCAGTTCCCCGTGCTCTGGCAATCTCAACTCCATAGAATATACTGTACAGTACACACAGAGGGCCCTGGCCAACTCTGAGCATTTTGGAGTTTATACCAGAGGAAATCATATGACCTGGTTTTGAATAATTGCAATTCTTGAAGAGGGTGTCTTTCTCTCAGCAAAGCAGCTCAGCTCATGGCTAATGTGATTACTGCCACAATAAGGTCTCTGTTTGCTGCTGCTCTCACTTCTGTTTCCCCAACTCACTGACAGGTCAGACACCATAATGTCTTGTGTTAACGGCGTGTGATAATGAGACATTACTAAGTCCACATCAACTGATCTATTCCACAGCTACATATCCTAAAGAAGACTTACTTTGAAATACTTGTTGTGAAACATTGGCTACCACATTGTGAAATGGATCAGTTGGGTGTGATTCAGAATGGCAGCATCATTGTAAGATATCAAAGGAATGAGGAAGTAGACTTCTAAAATCTTTCATGTTGGAACTTTGTGCCATTCTTTGATTAGAAACAAGGCTTTTAATTCATACTCTCATCTTCCCCCCCAAACCACATGTGTTTTACAATGTATAAGACCACAAAAACAACAAAAGGGATTTGGAGAATATGCCACAAATGCCTATTACTGATGGATTTTCCTCAAACAGTAAGGGTTGAAATCTGTGGATGTCTACTGTGGATGTCTACTGATTACAGTGAGGGGAAGGTTACAGTGCCGTGAAAAAGTATTTGCCCCCTTTCTAATTTTCTCTACTTTTGCATATTTTTTATTCGGAATGTTATCTGAACTTCAACCAAAACCTAATATAAGATAAAGGGAACATGAGTGAACAAATAAAAACAATTACATACTTATTTCATTTATTTCATGAACAAAATTATGCAGCACCCAATGCCCATGTGTGAAAAAGTAATTGCCCCCTTACACGCAATAATTGGTTGTGTCACCTTTAGCTGCAATGACTCCAACCAAACACTTCCTGTAGTTGTCGATCAGTCTCTCACGTCACTGTGGAAGGATTTTGGCCCAGTCTTCCATGCAGAATTGCTGTAACTCAGTGACATTTGTGGGTTTTCAAGCATGAATTGCTTGTTTCAAGTCCTGCCACAACATCTCAATTGGGATTAGGTCTGGACTTTGACTAGGCCATTCCAAAACTTCAAATTTGTTGCTTTTTAGCCATTTTCATGTAGACTTGATTGTGTGTTTTGGATCATTGTCTTGCTGCATGACCCAGCTGCGCTTCAGCTCACAGACGGATGCCCTGACATTATCCTGTAGAATTCTCTGATACAGAGCAGAATTCATGGTTCCTTCTTTTAAGGCAAGTTGTCCAGGTCCTGAGGCAGTAAGGCATCCCCAAACCATCAGACTACCACCACCATGCTTAACCGTTGGTATGAGGTTCTTACTGTGGAATGCAGTGTTTGGTTTTCACCAAGCCTAATGGGACCCATGTTGTCCAAAAAGTGAGACTTTTGAAACCTCTGTCCATAGAACATTCTTCCAAGAGTCTTGATGATCATCCAGGTGCAACCAGGTGCTTTTTGGCGAACTTGATTCAACTTTTGGATGACATGGGTCCCATTATGCCATAGAGAAAATCAGAAAGCGGGCAAATACTTTTTCACGGCACTGTAGGTGTTACACGACCTCCTGCAATGGGTTAAGCCATCAAATACCGATCTCCGATTACCTTTTTTCTTCTGAACCATACTAATTAGTTATTGAACGATTATATGTTTCCAGAAAATCCAGCTTCCCATGTCATGATCTGCTCTATTTCCAGTGTATGCCTTTACCTATCTACCACATTGCTACTTAGGGATTTTTTTTCTTCCTGTTTCTAGAACTATTGCTCTAAAAGTCTGGTTATAACAGGTGTGGTGGTGAGCCAGACGATGGCTCCCACACTGGCTCCTGCTGTGATGAACACCACATTCATTGAAAATGTGACAGCGACCACCACAGTCAGTGAGACCACCACAGTCAGTGAGACCACCACAGTCAGTGACAATGTGACCGCGACCACACCCATGATCCTCAGCACCACATCCCAAGGCTGCTCTGCTCTCAACACCTCCACCTGTGAGCCCTGTGTCCCAGGGTCCTACTCCGACAATGGTGAGTCTAGACGTCCTGTAACCTTACTTACCCTGGTCTGGCAGAAAGATGCTTAGTTTCAGTGAAGGGGCGGCGGGTAGCCTAGCGGTTAAGAGCATTGTGCCAGTAACCCAAATAATTAGTTTTATTTCTCACCACAACCTATAAATTAGGTAGAAACACAGCGCAGCCAATTGATGCAGCACTGTAATGTAGTTTTTACCCATGTGACATCTATTTTTTGTTAAGTGGACAGTGGACATAGGAGTTGTGTTGTTGGTGTGTAGCTTTGCCGTATTATTTGACTACTGAAATTTGTCTGGCCTCTACAGACTTACTAAGTGAAAGATTCTTTGGCTCAAATGTAAAATGAAGGTGGTAAATGTTGTAAACAGCACAGCCTGTTCAATAACAGCCTTCTGATCTCTCCCCAGACACCCTGCTGTGTTCCTGCTGCCATGAGCCAGGGCTGTGTATGTTCACTGGGGCTTGCCTTGCATGTTCCAGAGGGTTCTTTCAGCCTCTGGCTGGACAACAGCGATGTCTGCCCTGCAGCCAGGGTTTTTACACCAAGTAAGTCTCTGTCAACTGAGGGCATAGCTGATTCACAAACATTCTGCATACCACTGTTGCATTGACCCTCTTCCTGTTCTCCATCTCACCTTGCAGTTTCACTGGCAGCCCTGTGTGTCAGTCCTGCCCCCCAGGCTCCTACAGCAACAACACAGGCTCCGACTCCTGCCGAAGCTGTTCTCCAGGTATTTATATCAATATTTTTCTGTTTTGGTTGTATAATCATCGCAATAATGACTTACTTGTTACTATTACAGTTATTATATTATAGTGTGTTTGTTTGTTCATCCATGCCCATAGGCAGAGAAAAAGGAGTGAATAAAAAATGAGTAACAACTGATGAAAACAATCAGCTCTCCTGTATAAGAGCTGGGCTTCAGTCATGCACATTCAAGCAATTCAATTGGATGTGTCTGGTTTTTAAATGGAATGTGTTATTTTCAGGTTTCTATACATCAAAACAAAATGCCACATCGTGCAGTCCATGTCAACAGGGAACGTTCTGCAAGTAAGTGGCCCTTATTGTCACCTTCGATTTGTGGTTGCTTAACTAGTGTGGTTTGCACTGCAGCGGGATCTGCTTGAACTCTTAATAATCCACACAACTGTCCCTGTTGCTTGTCTGCAGATCTAACATCACATGCTCCCATCTTATGCAACTGATATTACTTCCCAAAACAGGACACACACACACACACACACACACACAGACACACACATATTGGGTTAGTAGTAGGCATTGAAAATATTATTTCATAATTTAGTCATCAGACATGGGGTGGTGATAGCCAGCAGTATTAAACAGTATTTTGTAAATAAGTTATTCCCTATTCATTGCACCCTTGTGGTCTTCCTTCCCACAGCTCTTCCAGTTGTGCTCTGTGTCAGATCTGTCCTTCTGGTACAGAGTCTCTGCAGGCCGCTGCTAAGGAGTGCACACCTTGTCGTCCAGGTAACTGCCAGTGCCATCCAACAATATTAACTATGCTATTTCTAATGCATTCAGTGTGTTAAAATATTAAAGGTAAAGAGAATGTTTAAAATGTTTTTCTGAGAATGTTCCATTCAATGTAATATAAAGTAAATATTCAACTATGACTGTATTTGAAGTAGCTCTATTCACAGATGGGTTATCTGGCACTGCATTGATTACATCTATAAACACACTAAATGAAGGCATGATCTACACTGAACAAAAATAACACACAACATGCAACAATTTCACAGATTTTACTGAGTTACAGCTCATATCAGTCAATTTAAATAAATAAATTAGGTCCTAATCTATGGATTTCACATGACTGGGAATACAGATATGCATCTGTTGGATCAGAAAACCAGTCAGTATATGGTGTGACCACCATTTGCCTCATGCAGCGCGACACATCTCCTTCGCATAGAGTATATCAGGCTGTTGATTGTGGCCTGTGGAATGTTGTCCCACTCCTCTTCAATGGCTGTGCGAAGTTGCTGGATATTGGCAGGAACTGGAAAACGCTGTCGTACACGTCGATCCAGAGCATCCCACACATGCTCAATGGGTGATGTCTGGTGAGTATGCAGGCCAGAACTGGGACATTTTCAGCTTTCAGGAATTGTGTACAAATCCTTGCGACATGGGGCTGTGCATTATCATGCTGAAACACGAGGTGACTGCGGCGGATTAATGGCACGTCAATGGGCCTCAGGATCTCGTCACGGTATCTCTGTGCATTCAAATTGCCGTCGATAAAATGCAATTGTGTTCATTGTCCGTAGCTTATGCCTGCCCATACCATAACCCCACCGCCACCACGGGGCACTCTGTTCACAACGTTGACATCAGAAAACTGTCACCCACACGACGCCATACATGCTGACTGCCATCTGCCTGGTACAGTTGAAACCTGGATTCATCCATGAAGAGCACACTTCTGGTGAGCATTTGCCCACTGAAGTCGGTTACGACGCCGAACTGCAGTCAGGTCAAGACCCTGATGAAGACGGCGAGCACGTAAATGAGCTTCCCTGAGACGGTTTCTGACCGTTTGTGCAGAACTTCTTAGATTGTGCAAACCCACAGTTTCATCAGCTGTCCGGATGGCTGGTCTCAGACGATCCCGCAGGTGAAGAAGCATGATGTGGAGGTCCTGGGCTGGTGTGGTTACACGACGTACGGCCAGTTCTCTAAAACGATGTTGGAGGTGGCTTATGGTAGAGAAATTAACATTAAATTCTCTGGCAACAGCTCTGTTGGACATTCCTGCAGTCAGCATGCCAATTGTATGCTCCCTCAACTTGAGACATATGTGGCATTGTGTTGTGTGACAAAACTGCACATTTTAGTGCCATTTTATTGTCCCCAGCACAAGGTGCACCTATGTAATGATCATGCTGTTTAATCAGCTTCTTGATATGCCACACCTGTCAGGTGGATGGGATTATCTTGGCAAAGGAGAAAATTGTGCACAAAATTTGAGAGAGAAGCTTTTTGTGTGTATGGGAAATGTCGGGGATCTTTTATTTTAGCTCATGAAACATGGGACCGACACTTTACATGTTGCGTTTATTTTTGTTCAGTATAATTTGTTAAGGTAGTACACCGTAATAGCAGAGATTGTCAGTTTTAAATGGATGACATCTTAGTGGAGTAATCTGATTAGGATGTATTGCTGAGATGTTTGGTTTTGGACAGGTATGCACAAGGCTCCCCGTCAGAGTATGTGTCAAATCTGCAGCAGCGGCTTCTTCCAGATCCGCTGGGGCCAGGAGACCTGTAACCTCTGCCCCGAAAACCACTACTGCCCAGTCAGTACCACAGCCCTTACTCCCAGTAAACACCTCCAATACTGAAAGTATCCTTAAGGGATTTCCTGACCAACTTTAATGACCAAGGCTCACTTCATCTGTTCCACAGAGTCCAGATGTGAACCCCATCCTGTGCCCTGGCGATGCCTTCTGTCCTGAAGGCAGCACTGCTCCAGGTTACTGCATGGAGACCTTCTTCCGCAAGGCAGGGGAGGAGTGCGAGCTGGCCCCCGTCACCATTGCTCTACTTGTCATTGGAGGAGGAGGTATGTCTGAAGAAACATGTTGAAAATATTGGTGTAGTGGAAGGAAAGTGGTTTGAACTTTAGGCTACAACTTAGATGTTGAAAACCCTTTCATAAGTGAGCAAAAAATTGGCTTCCCATATTTACTTGGTTTTAGTGACCCTTTAATTGAGAAAAGTTGTTCACTGACATGAACCTTGTTTATTTCTTCTAATTGCACTAATTCTATGCATTGTCTGGGCACTACAAAGTACAAATATCCAAATATATGATCGAATTATCTTGTTTAGAGGTAATTTGATCAAGAGGCAACATCTTGTAGCAAAAACAAAGTGAAATAGAAATCATGCTGAAGTAATGGAGTAGCAGTAAGTGAACTTTGTAGTCTTGTTGCATACAGTCTTTTGATGTTGTTTTCTTTATTTTCTCTGGTCCAGTGGCCCTACTTTTCGTCATCCTGCTGGTGTTGCGTCGAAGGCGAGACACAGACGGAGAGCTTTCCCTCGCACGACAACCTCTGTTACGCAAAGAGCGGCCGCAAGGTCGATACTACGGGATACCATGTGATGCTGAGCCAGTATACGCTGGTTGGTGAACATGTCCCCAGCCCCATCTGATACCTCCAATTATTGGGGTAAAATGTCTGGCTTTTAGAGCAGAATCAACTGAATTCTATGTACCTCAGCTTTGGACTAATGGACCATAAGAGAAAGCAGACTCACACCAAATCCTAACCATGGTTTACCGAATGGCCATTTGAGTACTTTTGATAACTCACCAGCTCTTTCCTGCAGTACATCTTCTAGATGTATTCTTGACAAGCAGAAGTGTTTTTTTCTTCTGTATTATGTGCTTTAGTGAAGGCTGACCCCATTACATTTGTTAAAAATAAGAAAAAATGTCATCAAATTAATTGGCTTTCTTTGCATTCCTCTTTAGGTTAATTAGGTCAATGGTTTAAAGAGGCACACTGGATGGTTGAGGAGGGTTGACAAGCGCTTGTTGAGCATCTTATAAGGACTTGGTGACCTTGTGTTATATGAAAAGCACTTTTGTTTTTGTTGATGTTTGTAAATGTTATTGCATTCATTCATGGTAGATCGAAAGTTATGCGTTAAAGATTGTTTTAAGTAAATGTTCCCTTCTGTCACAGAAATAATATTTGCTGGTTATATGGATTAATAATATTGATGATCTGAGGTACTATGTAGGGGTGTAACGATCCATCTACTACATCGATGTATCGATTTATATTCCTATGATCCAACTACATCGATCTGTGGTCGGCGAGTTGGCCTTTTGGACAACATATATCGATCTAACATCGTTTTAAAATGTAATAAATCGATTGTATCGATACTAGGAAATAACCCATTGGATTTAAGCACGTCAGACTTTATATGGATGTTTTTTCTTAGCACTTTTAATGATAAAGGCTTTAAACATTACTCGATTCAGTCTGCCTATCCGTGACGTCATCGCGCCAACAGCAGCGCAAAGGCGCAAAGACAACAAAACATAGCATGGCGGACGACAGAGGAGAAGCCGACGAGCGAGAAATTATCAAGCCACCATTGCGGTCCTTACAAGAAACAGGAATCTAGGAAACTTCACCTGCACTGTCCAGTATCCAGGTATTTATTTCAGTCACACTGGTTGAATTTTTGGCTAAAAGGTTACTGAATCGATTTCAAGTCACTGAATCGTTTCGGATCGTATCGTTCTAAATTAACCAATATCGTCCTTGAATCGTATCGACAACCACGAATCGTGATACAAATCGAATCGTTGTTAAAACGAATCGTTACACCCCTAGTACTATGTATTATATTTTTTATTGTATATGTTTGAAATGCATCCCATCACATCTATATTCATCATTAGCAATGTTTTTGACCTGTTCTTTAAAATGATAAGTGTATGTTTTAAAGAAAAACAGACTCCACTCCAGTGTATATGCTGGAAAAAGCACAATTTTGCACTACATTCAAGTGAAATTCTGTTGTAGAATTACTAGCCTATAAAAGAACTGGATACAGACTGTAGTTATTTCCATGACGCAAGTTTATTAACAAAATGTCTGTAAAACCTCTGCGGTTATGATGAGATGTATCGTCACCCAACATCATTGTTATTTTATACACACAATAAACACCAAAATGACGTTTCATGATGTGTGTCTGTGTGTGCGAGCAAGAAAACGACAACTTTTTTACAGGATCGCGTACTGATTGTTCCAATGGTACAACGTAGTAGTTAATTGCATGACAAAAAAAGATTGAATCACAGTGGCAAGGAACGTCTCTGGTATGTAATGCTTTGCCACATTATTCAGATGTGGCAAAGCTACCTGTGATCAATTCAAGGTTTTCCGTAAGCTCTATTGCTCTGTTTTACAATCATAATAGCCAATATCTTGCCTAACGAGGCGACTTTCGTGGCCATGATTACCACATTCTAAGGTTATCAAATGCCAGCCAATAGTCTGATTAATCGGTAGCTATACATAGAGTATACAATACAGAATGTTGACTACAATTAATTTAAACTTACTTACCGGTTGTCCTTCTGCTGCTCGAAATTTGAGGCAAAATATCCACAGGTAACTATTGTTTACCCGATTTAGAGAGCTGGTAGGAATGGGTCGGTTAGGCAACAAGGTAAAATTAGTTTTATATTGGATATAAGGATTTCAAACTCCCCCCCGAAAAAAAAATTAAGGTGAGGATTGTGTCTCTGTTTTTACCCCACCCAGTAGGTGGCAGCAATACACATTTTTGGATGTAGTCTGCCAATAAAACCTTCAAAGAAGAAATTTGTGGATTGTCCGCCATCCTCCACTGACTCAGAATATACCATTTTCATTGTCATGGCATGCTTGGTTCAATAACTATTAACAAGAGAACCGATTATCAGATATAAAACTAACTTTACCTTGGTGCTGAACCTAACCATATTTGATTTGGTCTTATGTAGCAAAATTTGAAATTGTGTTTTTTTTTAAGTAGACTCAGAGCTAGAAAATGGTATATCATACACTACAGTTGAGGAACAATGGTAAAGTAATTCTGCTTTGAATGTTGATAAACTTGTAAACCCACTTTTGAGAAAATGGCCTTTGAATGTTTTGGTTCACCGACTGGAGAGCTCTTCTTTGTCTGCACCCATTCAGCATCTTTCACACCCTCTTAAGCCTTAACCCCACCCATCTCTTTAAGGATTCACATGTGAGACCATGTGCTAAACAGAGTGAGTACAGTAGTGTACTAAACAACCAAAGATGTCAAGACTAAAGGCTGGTTTATACTACGTCTATCGACATGGCTGTAGACAGTTGTCGCAGTGACATCATGAACATTAGATTGTCGTCCGACATCAAACTTGTTGTTGTTATGAAAAAGTATAAACACAAAAACTACAGGCTGCTTGACATCAGCAGCCTGGTGGTCCAGAATGGCATAACTGGTGTATTTAAACACCAATACACCCATCCGTTTTAAAAATGAATTTAGGATGTGTCAATCTAGCAAACCAGGCAACTAAAAGTACTTTCTAAATAATGTTTTGGTTAGTTTCTAGCTTGTTAGTTAGCTAGTGAACGTTAAATTAGCTGGCTAGCCAGTTCAAATCATGACCATATCATATCTGACAAGGTCTTAACTTTAGCTAATTTGTTTTCATTATTACAGGAAAATAAACTCACAACAAGATCATTATTTACAAGTTAATGGCGAGCTAATTACAGAAAATAGCTTATGGTTGTGAGTGTGACAAAATAAAAGCAGGGCATTCTACTGGAGAATTTTAGAAGTTGGACACTGTCTCATTGGCCTGATGTTATATCCTAATTTGACTTTGGTGCAGGTCATATTGTTCTTCACATTACCATCTCTGGTAAACACACATTATATCAAATAAAATCAAAGTTTATTTGTCACATGCACAGGATACAGAAGTTGTAAACGGTACAGTGAAATGGTTACTTGCACAGTGGAGTCTTTTGTTTAGGCAACTAAAAGTAACTTTCTAAACAATGTTTTGGTTAGTTTCTAGCTTGTTAGCTAGCTAGCTAGCTAAACAATTAACCATACTCCCAACTCGTAACGTTACTACCCTGCATGAATCTGCAGGTAGCTAACCAACTAGGTTCAATGTTAGCTAGTTAGCTAACATTAGGCTATAACTAGCAATGCAAATGGCTCTGAGATATGAATAATATTGCTACACAGATCATACACGTAATGTTAGCTACCGAGCCAGCCAGCTAACAATAGCTAGCTAGCTAATAGTACGCTTTAACTTGAAAACAACTTTCTGACAAAATTTGAAACATATAATATCTGAAAATGTAACTAGCTAGACTCTCTTACCCGTATACATGTATGAATGCTTCTCCCTCTCTGTCACGGATGCCATTGTTGCCCTCAGTTTGAAGATGTAATCCGGAGACGGGTGTTTTATACAACAGCCTGTGTTCTCTTTTCAACTCCCTCCGCATATTTGCAATCAAACGCCATAATTTTCTCCATCTCCTTAGCTATCATACTCTGCTTCCACCGGGCATTCAGCTGATTTCAAAACTCGGTCCTCCAGAAAGTGGAGAGCAACACTTTTGCAGTTCTTCATGATATCTTTCAAAAAAAGCCACGTAAAGGATTTACCGACACATACTGAGCAGCTCATGTTATAGACAGAAGCGTGCTACATGGCAGACCAATCCGAACTCATCTCTTGGCATGTCCAGCCCATCCATTATCTCAGCCAATCATGGTCAGCAGCGGGAATTTTCCTGTCTTTTTCCGTGGCTAAACCAACTAGATTCAAGTTTTAATGTCACATGCACAAGTACAGTGAAATGCCTTTCTTGCAAACTCAAAACCCAACAATGCAAAAATCAATAACAATGTATTACTTAAAAAAAAAAAATACAAGAAATAAAAATAGGAAATATGAAATACACAATAAAGTAAGTTAGCATACTGTATACAGGAAATATTTAAGTCAGATCCAATACCATATTTACATGTGCAGGGATACTGGAGTGATGGAGGTAGATACAGTGGGGGGAAAAAGTATTTAGTCAGCCACCAATTGTGCAAGTTCTCCCACTTAAAAAGATGAGAGAGGCCTGTAATTTTCATCATAGGGACACGTCAACTATGACAGACAAATTGAGGAAAAAAAATCTACAAACAAGCAAGATTTCTGGCTCTCACAGACCTGTAACTTCTTCTTTAAGAGGCTCCTCTGTCCTCCACTCGTTACCTGTATTAATGGCACCTGTTTGAACTTGTTATCAGTATAAAAGACACCTGTCCACAACCTCAAACAGTCACACTCCAAACTCCACTATGGCCAAGACCAAAGAGCTGTCAAAGGACACCAGAAACAAAATTGTAGACCTGCACCAGACTGGGAAGACTGAATCTGCAATAGGTAAGCAGCTTGGTTTGAAGAAATCAACTGTGGGAGCAATTATTAGGAAATGGAAGACATACAAGACCACTGAATATCTCCCTCGATCTGGGGCTCCATGCAAGATCTCACCCCGTGGGGTCAAAATTATCACAAGAACGGTGAGCAAAAATCCCAGAACCACACGGGGGGACCTAGTGAATGACCTGCAGAGAGCTGGGACCAAAGTAACAAAGCCTACCATCAGTAACACACTACGCCGCCAGGGACTCAAATCCTGCAGTGCCAGACGTGTCCCCCTGCTTAAGCCAGTACATGTCCAGGCCCGTCTGAAGTTTGCTAGAGTGCATTTGGATGATCCAGAAGAGGATTGGGAGAATGTCATATGGTCAGATGAAACCAAAATACAACTTTTTGGTAAAAACTCAACTCGTCGTGTTTGGAGGACAAATAATGCTGAGTTGCATCCAAAGAACAGCACACCTACTGTGAAGCATGGGGGTGGAAACATCATGCTTTGGGGCTGTTTTTCTGCAAAGGGACCAGGACGACTGATCCGTGTAAAGGAAAGAATGAATGGGGCCATGTATCGTGAGATTTTGAGTGAAAACCTCCTTCCATCAGCAAGGGCATTGAAGATGAAACGTGGCTGGGTCTTTCAGCATGACAATGATCCCAAACACACCGCCCGGGCAACGAAGGAGTGGCTTCGTAAGAAGCATTTCAAGGTCCTGGAGTGGCCTAGCCAGTCTCCAGATCTCAACCCCATAGAAAATCTTTGGAGGGAGTTGAAAGTCCGTGTTGCCCAGCGACAGCCCCAAAACATCACTGCTCTAGAGGAGATCTGCATGGAGGAATGGGCCTAAATACCAGCAACAGTGTGTGAAAACCTTGTGAAGACTTATAGAAAACGTTTGACCTGTGTCATTGCCAACAAAGGGTATATAACAAAGTATTGAGAAACTTTTGTTATTGACCAAATACTTATTTTCCACCATCATTTGCAAATAAATTCATTAAAAATCCTACAATGTGATTTTCTTGATTTTCTTTTCTCATTTTGTCTGTCATAGTTGACGTGTACCTATGTTGAAAATTACAGGCCTCTCTCATCTTTTTAAGTGGGAGAACTTGCACAATTGGTGGCTGACTAAATACTTTTTTTCCCCACTGTATGTACAGGGGTAAGGGGACTAGGCAACAGGATATAAGATAAACAGAGTAGCAGCAGTTTGCATGTGAGTGTGTTTGCGGGTCTGTAGAGTCAGTATAAATGTATGTGCATATTATGTGTGAGTGAGAAAATTATGGAGTTTGTGTGTTGGAGTGACAGTGTGTGTGAGTGTGTAGGGCCCTGTGAGTGTGCATAGAGACAGTGCAAATATTGAAATAGAAGGTCAATAAAAGTACAAGGTAAACTCAGTCCGTGTAGCTATTTAGTTAGCTATTTAGCAGTCTCATGGCTTGGGGATAGAAGCTGTTCAAGAGCCTGTTGGTGTCAGACTTGATGCACCGGTACCTTTTGCTGTGCGGCAGCAGAGAAAATAGTCCATGGCTTGGGTGGTTGGGGTCTTTGACGATTTTCTGGGCCTTCTTTTCACGCCGCCTGATATAGAGGTCCTGGATGGCAGGGAGCTCGGCCCCAGTAATGTACTGTGCTGTCCGCACAACCCTCTGTAGCGCCATGCAATCGAGGGCGGTGCTGTTGCCATACCAAGCAGTGATGCTTCTGTAATATGATTCCACCTTATTCCTATATTGTCCTTTTGCTCATTTGATGACTCTGCGGGGGTCATAGCGGGCCTTCTTGTACTTATTCCTGTCTTCGGTCGTAGCATCAGGGTTGTCTACAATAGCTCTGTGTACGGTAGCCCTGGTCTTTAGTTTAGCGCCAACCTCTGTGTTCATCCAGGGCTTTTTATTGGGGAAGCAGCAAACCATCACCGTGGGTAATGAAGCAGGTGATGGAGGTTGTTAGCTCATCATTGTTATTGGTGGAGTCTCAAAACATATTCCAATCAGTGTTAGCAAAAGAGTCCTGTAGCATAACCTCTGATTCTGGTGAATCACAGGTACTTCCTGTTTCAGCTTCTGCTTGTAAACAGGAAGCAAGAGTACGGATTCATGATCTGATTTGCCGAATGGCAGACGAGGAAGGGCCTTGTATGGTTGCTTGTGGGTAGAATAGCAGTGGTCTAGTGGCGTTGGAGACGTGTTGATGGGAGTTGGGCATCACGTGTCTTAGTGACGCCTAATTAAAATTGCTGCCAACCAGAAAGGCAGCCTCTGGTGTTAGGGTTTTTCCTGCTTGTTTATAGCTTTGTACAGTTCGTTAAGTGCCAGCTTGTTATTTTGATTGTCCTGAGGTTGAATGTATACAGCAGTCACGATAACAGCTAACAACTCCCTCGGGAGGTAGAAGGGTCGTCATTTGACCATCGGGTATTCCAAGATGGGTGAACAGTGGGTCGACACTTCCACCGCACTGGAATTATCACACCAGTTGGAGTTGATGAAGAGGCAAACTCCCCCCCCCCCTCGATTTCCCCAACTCCTCTGTCCTGTCCGCCAGGTGAATGGACAATCCATCGAGTTGGATAGCCGTGGGGGTATCTTGTCTGAGAGCCATGTTTCTGAAAATCAAAGAATATTGCAGTTCTGAGAGGCCCGTTGGTAGCAAATCCGCCAACAGAGGGGATCCATCTTATTATCAAGTGACTGTACATTATGAAGAGGTGGCCGGTTTTCCCTTCGCCTTAATCTCACCAGGATCCCCCCTCTCTTGCCTCTGAAACGCCTGCGTTTCCTTCTGTGTAGGCCGAAAATTAGGTTGGAATTACAGAGAGAGCCCAGGGCAGATGAGTCGAAGTAGAAGACAGAATTGGGGTAAGTAACTGCTGATCTGTTGTTCAAGAGTTCTTGTCGGTTGTAAGAAATAATAGCGGATACATTTCATGAAAATAAAGTAAAAATAAACAACAAAATGGCTAAATTGGGGCGGAGCTTGCAAAACGGCAGCCATCCATGAAGTAGTGACGTGTGACATATGCCTAGTTTCCTGAAACTAGTCACATACAAAAGTCTAAACAATACTTTCCTGTGGATATTTTGTCTAAACTTTCGAGCAGCAGAAGGACAAACCGCACTAGCCTAAAGGCCAGCAGATGGCGATATTGAGTCATTTCATCTTACCGTCCAAACGCATTGTATGAAGTCGGCAATACATTCTTATCCCTCGTGGACCAGTTCGTACCTAAAACATTCACCATTCAGGCTGCATAGGCTTCGATATTCTCCTTAATTTTTTTAATGGCGAGAAGGCGTGGGAAAAAACGGGGAAAATATGCGTGCTTTCATTATGAAACACATTTTCCACCATCATGCTAGAGTGGCTAAATGCCCATCATGTTTAGGGTCATGTATGCCCCCATAGGATGATAATGCCCCCATCCACAGGCCAAGAGTGGTCTGATGAGCATGAAAACAATGTAAACCATATGCCATGGCTGTCTGTCACCAAATCTCAACACAATTAAACACTTATGGGAGATTTTGGAGCGGTGCCTGAGACAGCGTTTTCCACCACCATCAACAGAGCTTCAAATAATGGAATTTATTTTGGAAGAAGGGAGTCACATCCCTTCAGTAGCGTTTCAGACACTTGTAGAATCTATGCCAAGGTGCATTGAAGCTGTTCTGGCTCATGGTGGCCCAATACCCTATTAAGACACTTTTATGTTAGTGTTTTGTTTAGTTTGGCAGTTACCTGTATATGCAACTGTTATCAGCTGTGAAAAAAGTAGCTATATGGCTTCCCTAATTTTAGGAATTTCTTTATCTTGTATTGATAGGCTTGCTGAGGCCGTTGACTCTGTTTGCCAGGGGGCAGCAGATATGTCGCTTCTCCACCATAATCCATAATCAAACCGTGCAGAGTTCTGTGCTTACTACCCCTGCATGGGCTTGTCTGTCTGCTAAAGCCTTCCAGACACCCCAACAGAGCATCCTGCAACGGTGAGGGCTGGAATGGCATAGTACTGCTTAGCTTGATCAGATTCAACCTACCAAGTTCTATTGTGCAGATTCAATTCATTAAGTGCAATTTGTTTTTTTTACTATTCATGTTTACCTAGCTTTTGTTTCAATTGTTTCTTTGAAAGATGAATCAATACAATCCATTAATAAGATGTTGGCAGGCATATCCACTGGCTTTGTTTGTTTGAATGACATGAAACTGGAAAGGTTTTATTTAATTTATTTGTACTAATTTGGGTGGGGCTTGGTTCTTGCAGGGTTGCACCTCTCATTCCCAGCCGGGTCCAGCAGCCAAGCAGAAACCTCACGTACATCAGCCTGAAGAAGGGGAGGAGGAAGTCTGTGAAATCAGTGGTGAAGAGGTTCATGCGGCTGCACTGTGGCCTATGGATTAGACGCAAGGTAATGTAGTGTCTCTCATTCTATGTTTTCCTTAGTTTCTGAAACCATAAAGGTTGTGTAAATGACCTTATCTCAGTGTCTCCTCTGTCTTTGAATTGACACTGCTGGTTCTCAACAGGCTGGATACAAGACAAAACTGTGGAAGAAATTGCCTGCCAGAAAGAAGCGTTTAAGGGAGCATGTGTTTTGTAGCGAAACACAGAACAAGCTCTTGGACAAAATTACCACAAAATTCTGGAAGAGGGGGAACTGGTTTGTCAATGATCCCTACAAGAAATACCATGGACGTGTCTCAACCTAAAAGTCTAATAGCCGGTGGCTTCTTTAGCAACAAAACTGATGTGTGCGCAACCCTTGGGGCAAAACAGACAGGGTTGGCTTAGAATCAAAGGATTGTTGACATGTAAACTATATTTCCTCTCTAAAAAATTTTTGAAAATAAATGTGCACAATGAGCACTTCTCTCAAATACACCGGTACAGTTGTTGGTTAGCTAGTGAATTTTAGCCATATTAGCATAGACGTGACATGAGTCAAAACACCTAAAAAAATACACTTTATCAATAACATGATACATCAAGCTGAAACCAGCCACCTACTATTCCCCACATGGCAGCTTCTTGTCATTGTTGCTAGCTATCTGACTGTCCAGAATCATAACCCCACACGGCCTTCGGTCTCCAGAATCATAACCCCACACGGCCTTCGGTCTCCAGAATCATAACACCACACGGCCTTCGGTCTCCAGAATCGTAACACCACACAGCCCCCACCCCCCACCACACCCACGTAGATGGATTTAGGTTGTGATGGTACAGCTGGAAATATCATTGTCTTGTCGCAGTCGTTGAATCAATTATCTAAAATATTTGTTTAAATGTATTACCTATTAAAATATAATACAAAAAATAAATAAGCCACAGCAGCACATTCTCATTTATTGACTGTTATCAGTTCACCAACAGAAATACTGATGATACAGAGCAGTGGAGGCTGCTGAGGAGAGGACGGCTCATAATAATGGCTGGAACGGCGCGAATGGAATGGCATCAAACCATGTTTGAAGTATTTGATACTATTTCACCTATTCCATTCCAGCCATTACCAAGAGCCTGTCCTTCCCAATTAAGGTGACACCAACCTCCTGTGATAGAGAAAGCACTTTTAATGACCAGTCATTTTAGACCATCATTCCTGTCTTTCACATCTTTTTTTCTGAAATTCACAATCAAGTTTGAGCATTGTGAGTGATTATGGCCTGCCAGAAGGTACTTTTTACCCCGAGACCATCAGAGAGAAGAGAGGAATGTGGGCTTTTTATTCCAAAGAGATAAGACCTGTTCCTCAAACAATTTATTTGAATCTAGGTTGTAGAAACATGTATTTGTCCATGAGAAGAACTTTCCTGACCTTGTCACAAAGTGTTTCAAAATAATAATGAAAATAATATTCAGACACTTCAGAATCAATGTTATCAGCAAGGCATTCAATGAAGCAAATAACTACACACTAATCCAATCAATGCTGTGAAGTAAATCATTTTCATATTTACTAAATAACAAACATCATTTTTTAATTTTATTTAACCTTTATTTAACTAGGCAAGTCAGTTAAGAACAAATTCTTATTTACAATGACGGCCTACACCGGCCAAACCCCTACAACGCTGGGCCAATTGTGCGCTGCCCTATGGGACTCCCAATACAGCCTGGAATCGAACTAGGGGGTCTGTAGTGACGCCTCAAGCACTGAGATGCAGTGCCTTAGACCGCTGCGCCACTCGGGAGCCCATCATGCAATGATGACTTTCCTTTACCAGCTGCTAGATGGCAATGATTCACTTTATTTTTAAAAAATTGATTTAAAATTCTACCACAGGTCAAATATCTGCTCATGAATAGCCTATATCCCCCCCCCCAAAATCAAATTAGAAGGAAACTCTTACTGATATTCCATGTGCAAACAAGTTTATACCTAAATGTTTCTACCGGAAAGGGTTTGAATTTGATGTGTAAACTGAACACATTTACCTGAGGAGAAGCTTTCATTTCTAATTTAAGCTACTGTATTGAGAACAGTGAACAAAAAAAGAAAATGCTGCCCAAGCATAAGATTTAGTGATGCATTGTGTAATAGCCAAGTGAATTCACATACCTACAGTGCAGAAACGTTCATTTAAGACATAGACGGTATGTCATTCACTACTTTTGGCAAAAACACTTTCCCAATATTCATGTCATTTACAGAAGGTTTGGAACCTGCCTATAGGAATTGCTATGCCCTCACAGATATAGGCAATAGGCAGGTGTGAGAGAGGAATTAGAAATTCCTCTCTCACATTGGCTGGGAAAAGACAGGTCGACAATTGTGGCTACACTGAGAAAAGTAGAGTTTTAAGTAAGAACCGTGAGTTGACAATTGCTCAGTGAAAGCAGAGTATTGCACAGTGTTTTTAGACTCGGAGAAGGACCAGAGTATATAGCCCTTGCCACTGGCTATCTTTTGTTATACAATAGCTATACACTTCAAAGTATGTTTTGTGTGCTAAACCTGAAAATACTAAAATGTATGGTGATGCCTATAAGACATGAGTAACACAAACTTTTACAAAACAATTGAATGACACACTTAAATGCCAGATAATTCATAACGAGATTGAAAAGTTGATTGTCATGATTTCTGCTACTTAGAGCAATTTATTCATTTGAATACTAACTAATCCCATGTAATAATCATTTTGGTAATGATCTATAACATGGTGATCAGTGAACTAAAGAGGGCAAGTGAGTCAAATCCTTCATTACTGAGTATTTGACCCTGCTACTCTGCTGGTGACTGATTCCATCTCAAACAGTGACCAAGTAGCCACAAAATGATATAGTGACTATACATTCTGTTTTATGACACATGACCAGAGACACATACATGCATTTGTCTCTAAACATAATATAAAAAAAACTATCTGAATGACAAATACACACACACACTGTACATACATACAAAAAGTATTCAATGACCGACTAATCAATCCAAATGTCTGTACACTATGGAACCCACTCGTGTGCTACCTTGATGGCACACACCCTCTGTCTCCTTCACACTACAGTATGTGCCAGATGTACTACAGTCGCTAGTGAAAGTCTACACACCCCTTGCACTTTCGTCACATTTTGCTGCCTTAAAATTTAATCTAAAAGGGATTCAATTTGATTGTTTTCCTATCTACACAACCTACTCCACATTTTCAAAGTGAAGGAAAAATTATAGAAATGTTTCTAAATTACTAAGAAGTACAGAATGAGGATGTACTGATTGCGTATGTCTTCATTCCCCAGAGTTAATACTTGGTTTAAGCAACTTTGGCAGCCATTACAGTTCTGAATCATTTAGAATAATATTCTACCAACTCTTAGAGCAACATATAGCCATTGTTTTTGTCAAATTGCTCAAGCTCAGTACATTTGGTTGGGAATCATTGATGGACAGCAATATTGTCTGATTATTTAAGCAGATTTAAGTCAGGATGGAGATTGGACTATTCATGAACACTCAACACCTCTTGGATAGCCATTCTTGTGTGTCTTTGTTATAAAAATGTGAGTAATTGTCCCATGGAAAACTACAACTCTATCCAAGGGTTAGGTTTTCAGAAGACTGAGACGGGTTTTCCTCTAACTTTTTACCTGGGCTTTGCTCCTTTCATATTTCTTTTGATCCTGACAAACTCCCTGCCGGTGACAAGCATGCCCATAGCATAATGCTTTCACCACAATACCACAATTACACAAATGTTTATGCCAAAGACACACCAGAATGTCTTTCCAAGAGACTGTTCCTGAGTGGTCTAGTCTCAATCCTGACTTACATTTGCTTGAAAATCAGAGACAAGGTTTTAATGTTTTTTTCCATCAATGATTCCTAACCAAATGTACTGAGCTTGAGCAATTCAAACAAACAACGGACATATGTAGCCCTATGAGTAGTGCAGAGTTGGTAGAATTGTATTCCAAATGATTCACAGCTGTAATAGCTGACAAAGGTGCTTCCATCAAGTATTAACTCAGGTTTTTATTTATTATTAATTAGGAAACATTTCTATATTCAAAGACCTCTTGAATTTAAATTTCAAGCCAGCCTTGGAGAAGGCTAAGCTGGACCTCTATCGCTGGTCGACACTCCCCATATCACTCACGCACAGAGTCAAGATGGTCATCATGCCAAGATTCCTGTATCTGTTTCAAACAATTCCTATCTTTATAGCAAAATCGTTTTTTAAAGAACTGGATAGACATACCTACTTTCATTTGGAATAAAAAGATCCCACGGTTGCGTAAAGCATTTTTCGAAAGACAAAAAGGAGAGGTGGGTCTTGCCCTACCCAATTTCTTCCATTACTACCAAAAATGGTTCTACCTGGAACCAAAAAGGGTTATCCTATGGGGACAGCCGAAGAACCCTTTTGGAAACTTTTTTTCTAAGTGTATGGTCTCAGTTTAGGATCCACTTTGGACATAGACAAGCGATCTCATCCATGCCTTTTATTTCCAACCCACTCTTCACACCCTACCACATAGACACAGCCTTCCAGCTATGGTTTCAGAATGGATTGACGAGTAACAGACCTTTTCCATGACTGTGTATTTATTATCTTTGAACATCTAGTTAGAGAGCACAGTACCCCAGACACATTTCTTCAGGTACCTGCAGATACACAACTTTACAAAAAATATTTTCCCGTCTCTCCCACCCACCAGCTGGCTTGATGAATGTTTGAACCTGGATCCCTAAGTAAAGGGACAAATTTCTATGCTGTATGACATTATTCAGAATATTGCATGCCCCACTCTTGACCATGTAAAGTGTTCATGGGAGGAAGAGTTTGGAAGCGAGATCTCCGATATCACCTGCATTCTGCAATCCTGGGTTACTACAGTTTAAAGTATTTAATCACCTACACTTTTGCAGGAGTAGACTTGCCAGATTGTATCCAGATATAGACCCAACCTGCTCTAGATGTCATCAGGCACCCGCCACTCTGTATCACATGTACTGGTCATGCCCGACACTAGTTCCATTCTGGTCCTCTATCTTTGAGACTTTCTCATATACAGTTGAAGTTGGATGTTTACATACACTTAGGTTGGAGTCATTAAAACTCGTTTTTCAACCACTCCACAAATGTCTTGTTAACAAACTATAGTTTTGGCAAGTCGGTTAGGACATCTACTTTGTGCATGACAAGTAATTTTT